TGCCGTGCCGCTGCTGCTGCTGGCGCGGCGCGTGCGCTAACGGCGCCAACGCTCACTGCAACAGCAACGGTGCTCCCAAAGGGGTGCTGCGGTTTCCCTGCAGCCCCCACGAGGTCTCGGCAGACGTCGACGACGCGAACGAGTTGCGTCACCCACGACACGGCAGCCACGACCTTAGTCAGTGGTACCTACTTGGTGCCGCGGAACCCGAACGCCGCGGCCCTTGCGGTGAGCGCTACTGCATCAGGGGTTTTCTTTCCGGCGGCTGGTAACCTGCAGCTCACGTCGCCATATGCACTGACAGCACCCGCAGGTGATAGCGACAGCGGCTCTTTGCGTGCTTTGTTAAGCCGGAGGGGCCTGTCAGTGCATGCGACGCCGTTTCGACCACAGTCATCCACTGACGCTTGGGCAATATTGTCGACGTCAGAAATGCCAGAATTGAGTGACCCGCTTTCTCTTCGCGAAGGGCAGCAGCGGAATTGTAGCAGTGACAGCAACGCTGCTGCTCTCCAATCGAAGGGGATTCGGACTCCTGGACTGGAGTTTCCCCGCACTCCGCTCGCCGGGGAACCCGCGTGTGTGCGTGTCTCCCCGCCTGCTGGTACTTCGGCCGGTGTTGTTCCGGTTCCTGCGTCTTCGTCAGCATCATTCGGTGGTGGCGATTCCATACAGTGGTCTACGCCCTTGCTTCCCATTTCTCCTGAGTTTACCAATCATCATGAACAACAACATCATCATCATCAGCAGCAGCAGCAGCGATCCGTATGCTGCGCTAGTCTTGGCGCTGGCACCAGTGGTATTAGCAGTGTTTTGTGCCCACCTGACATTAGGGACGAGGGTGGTGGCGACAACGTTCGCCACCTCCGCGTCCCTTTTACAGATGCGGAAGCAATGGATGAGGCTGCGATGCTCCACTTACTTAGGGGAAGTAGTAGCAGCGATGATGATGGCAACGACAATGACGACGACGACGAGGAAGACGCTGTCTATATGAGGCAACAACAGCAGCCGCACATGTTTGACGTGGCGACGGTGTTGCCAACAAATCTTGATGTGTACCACTGTGCTGGAGGGTACTGGGATTTGGAGGGGCCCCGTGCAGCTACGCGGCGTTTCTTGCGCCGTAGCACACCGTCCATTGCATCCTTCACCCTGACCGCGAATGGGGGCAGCTCCTCCGCCCGTGTTGTCGGCAACGGCGCTGCCACAGACGCTGGTATTGACTCCGATGATGACGATGACCTGTGGGAAATGAACAGCAGCGCCTACGCCGACAGTCTGGATGAGGCACAGGTGGAATGGATCGAGCAACAGCTGCACGCGAAGGAGAATCCCGAGGGTTTCTTCTTCTAAGAGGCATACATGGGAAAATAGGCAGATGTGCGAAGGGATGAACACGCGCACTCTCTGCCTTTTCTTTTTGCACATTCTCTTTCTTTGCGTGATTGTCACCTAACAGTGCGGGCGGTTTTCCCCTACAGAGTTCTGTGACTGCAAGTTTTCAAAGTGAAGGATCCCACATATATATTGCGGGAGAAGGGATTGGTGTTGAGAGTGAGAGTGCGTAAGTGAGCAAATATATATGTGTGAGTGTGTGTGTGTGTGTGCTAAACGAACCTGGTGTGCGAGGCGGGTGGGCAGCCTCACTAAGAACATGTGGTGCATGCTGGGGGGAATGATAGGACTAGGCAAAATCCAACGAAGAAAGGGTTGCAACGCATGAACTAGAAATAAAACAGGAGCAAATGTTGACTCCTCTGCTACGGCTTCGCTCCGTCTCATTATGCTCCAATGCTTCTACTTGCCACTCTTTTTTCCCTTTTTTTTCGTTTTGTTTTTTCTACTGTGATTTTCATTCCTTTTTGTCTCTATGGCACCCCTCGTTGGCGCACAGTTGCAGAACGGGGTAGGGGATTTGTAGACAGTTAAAGGGAAAACGGAAAACGAGAGTGCGGGGCTTGAGACTGGGCTTCGCTCTCTTTCTCTCTCCCTGCTAACCGTGAAAAGGCGACGAAAAACCAACAAAATGTAGTACAATTGAGAAAAAAAAAGTGAGACGCAAAGTAAATCAGACGACTTGGCTTTCTTCCCGCTCGCCTCTCTTAGCTGCAGCTGTTTATACCAAAGAGCCTACAGCCTAACGGAGGTAATTCATTTTGTGTGCGTTTGTATGCTTGGTTCTCGTCTGTGCCCTTGCAGCACATCTCTTTCACATCGTGTGGGGCCCCGTTTGGGGCGTGCTACGGTGCGGTGCTCTGTGCCTGCGCTTCTGTATCTCTTCTCCCCCTCGCCCCTATCGGTATCTGTGTGTATGTGTGTTGCCGACACTCTTGTAGATCAAAAAGCAAAGAAGATGTTTGGCTTTGAATCGGGGTCGGAGTTTATGGCGTACATCACCTTCATGTTCTTTGGACTGTCGGTGATGGTTGCAACGAACTCCATTTTGGCGGCGCCATCTTTCTTCACGGAGTACTACAGGTATGCGCAGGGTGATTCGGAGATTGAGGCTAATGACCCGTCCTTCTGGGACAACGTCCTGACATTCTACAACGTTGTGACGTTTGCCACGCAATTTTTTGGTGAGGCCTTCATGCTGACACCGCTGGGCAGGAGCATCCCTCTCCGCCCGCGCCTCATCGTGGGGTTTGTCATCCCGTTTGTGGAGTTTCTGGTGCTTATATTTGTTCCTGTTGCGGGGACATCGGAAGCAGGCGCCAAAGCCACGGTATTGGTCATGGCCTTCGTTGGCGGGATCTCCGTGACGCTCTGCGAGTCCTCCACGAATGCTCTTGCAGGCCCGTTCCCGACAAAGTTCTTCGGTGCTGTGATGATGGGGATTGGTTTCTCCGGCGTTCTTTTCTCGTTGATGCAGATCATCATCAAGGCATCCATGGCAGACGACTTTGACAGTGTGCTGACGCAGTCGCGGATTTTCTTCGGTGTTGCCATGGGCATGCAGTTAATCTCCTGCGTTCTGCTTGTGTTCATGCCCCGCAACGAATTTGCCCGGAGATTCACTGCAGAGTTCCGTTACGGCCATGAGGTGGCTGCTGAAAATCAAGATGCTCTCGAAGACAACGAAAAGGAGGCTGCCGCAGAGGAACATGAAGCGGATGCCCAGTGCATGGAGCCGGTATTGCCTAAGAATACCAATGTGCTGACTGCTGAGGGAGATGCGGACGACATGAAGGACGTTGATCAGGTGGATAACATCACCTCGACGGAGCAGATGCTCAACGCCCAGGTTGGGACTGTGTTTGTGCGCATTTGGCCAATTCTGCTTTCATGCTTCGCTGTTTTTGGGGCATCGCTTCTCGTCTATCCCGGTGTCTTCTTCGCTGTGGACGTTCATGACGGCTGGTACCTCACCACTGTTGCGGCTATGTTTAACTTGGGGGACTTTGTGTCCCGGTTTTCTCTCCAGTTCAAACGGTTCCATCCATCTCCTCGAGTGGTGGTGATTGGTACTGTTGCGCGTTGGCTGGTCATTCCGCCGCTGATTCTTTGTGTGCGTCACATCATCCCTGGAAAAGTGGTCCCTTGCATTCTGTGCCTGATCTGGGGACTGACGAACGGCTACTTTGGAGGCATGTCAATGATCTATTGCCCTCGCACGCCGTCGCTAACTACTGCCGGCCAGCGCTCCCTCGCCGGCATCATGGCTGCCGTGGCTCTCCTGTTGGGTCTGTTCGTCGGCTCTTCGCTCGCGCTTGCCGTGAAGGAGGGCTTCCCAGATGATTCCGATAGCTGAGCGCCTGGGCCCGCATGCGGCCGGCCGCCAAAAACGTTGGACGGAGTGGGGTGATCCCCCTCCACGTCTTTTTTTTAAAATTTCGCCACCATTTCCATTAAAAACGTTACCATGAAGTTGGGAAAACTCTCCTTTTTTCTCAAGGGCGGTGTGACACTCTGTGTGTGAGTGTTCTTTTTTTTCTTGAATCCATTAGCCTCTTGCAATACATCTGCTTGATTGGTGATTCATTACGTCGCCGTTTTCTCTGCAGTGTTGCAAAGGGCTGTGGCCATCAAAATAAAAAAAAAAACGGAAACTTATTTTTGTTTTTTGGAGATCAGGGTTCAGGTGAGGGAAGACGTACCCTCGGCAGTGACTTCTCTTGAAACGGTGGGCCTCGCTTGTTTGTCTACTCGGGGTTCGTGCGCCGAGAGAGAGAGTGTGTGTGTGTGTGTTTGATGTAGCCTATGTTTGAGGTGAAGGTAGTGAGACTCTACCAGGGTATGGCCTGCGTTCACATTGTGCAGTAAATTTAAGAAACAGCAAAATGCGATAAACATACAAGTAAATGCATTGGCCTTCCGGTTGTTTCTCTAACCAACCCCCTGTTAATTTCCACTACACTGTTTTTTCGTCGGTCTTGTTTACTTTCGGTGCACTGTTGGGCGTCGCGTGTTTTCAGCGGGGTGAGAAAGCGACTTGTTAACCACGTCGCATGAACGTGTGTGAATGGGTGACCCCCTTTCAGTAACCGGACGAAGGACGCTAATGGACGAAAAAACGCCAAGAAAAGGTAACAGCAGATAAACCAATATAATGAGTTATTCGCCCTACTTTTTTCCCCCCTGGCTGTTGTTGTTCTTTTTCAGAATCTACAGCCTAACGGAGGTAATTCATTTTGTGTGCGTTTGTATGCTTGGTTCTCGTCTGTGCCCTTGCAG